TATATATATATATATATATATATATATATATCCGAGTTTTTACGATCAATGACTGAAACCGACATCGTTTTCTTTCCTTTGAGTTGTAAAGTGTGCCTTGCTCAAAAGCTCTATTGGATTCTTTCCCTTTTGTTTTCAATCCTTTGTCATTTCATGCTCATTATTTGATGAAGGCAAGTTCTTGACAGTACACTGCCGCTTCGTAAAAGCTTGGCTCATAACTCAATGAAATGAGACAAGAGCATCCATGCAAAGGTGTTGGTGTGGGACTCACCCCCACTCGTCTCACACATGGCACCTTCACCATCTTGTACAAAATGTTCAGTGCTACACTATTTATCCATAACTACATGGTACCAAGTACTCTGTGGTAATTGATATTTTCTTATTAACCAAAAGAAAATTTTAAGAGACATAGGAAACACTGGGAAAAACTAAATGAATTTATGATGTTTGGGAATACTCCTCTAGTGATTTTAACATAGATTCCAAAATTTCAGATAAAAAATAATCTCCTAAGTAGTCTTTACATGAGCATGGTTTACTCACTTAAAAAACTTATTACGGTCCCAAAAACTTGCGTACCCAATCAATCTCTCTTTTTTTCCATATTTAATAGGAAACAAAGGTTCACTCGAAGTAAATCCCACTTCCCTTGAAATAACCTTTTGGGGATCCCCGATGAAGAACCGAAAAAGAGGGAGAGGTAATACAATTCTGAATCCAGGATATAAAAATATCCGTAAATCCCAAAGCTTGCATTATGGCACCTTTTTTGGTTAGTTGAGGTTTATCCAAGGTATCCACTTCAAACAATCAAAACTTCAAAAAATCAAAGCAAGAGTGCTTTCAAATTTTGTCAAGGATGAAGTCTTGGTGCCAAAAATCTTATCATAACCCAAAAAAAACTTTTCTTATCCCTAATTGTAGAACTTAAAAGTTTTCAAAATGGTTTTGATCAAGCAGATTTATAAACACTTGAAAATCTTAAAAATTGATGGTCCATGTAGCATACTAGAAGATGAACTATTTTTGAGACTTGAAATCGTGTTTTTTTTGTTTTTTTGCTAATATACATACATCTCATGTCGAGATAATCAATTGAAGAGTTTTCAAGTGTCAGAACCACCTTTTCTAATAGATTTTTAAGGGGCATTCTACTTATGTATACCAAAATTGGCACCTTTTATAGCTTTTTTTTTTTTTCTATTCGCATTTTACAGTGTTACTTAAACGCAAATTCTAAGGCATTTCCTAAGATGGCACTTAAAAGCGCGTGACGGAAAGTAATGCCTTGTTTTGCTGTTACTCGTTGAAGTCTTCAGGTGCAAGACTTGGGGGTTAAAAGAGGTCAATGAAAAAGTCTATTATGGGCTTCTTTACTTTTTAGCTTTGCCAAAAGTTATTATAATCTGAGTATACTTTTATTTGCTCCCTAGGGTCAAATCACATCTAGGTTAAGTTTTAGGACCTAAATTTTTGGGATATAACATCTTCCTCAATGGCATTAACTTCAATAAAAAATATTCCTAAGTGCACCTTCTATGCACTTGAAGGTTGAATAGAGACCGTTCAATGTTTAGAGGGTGAGATCTAAGTATTAGAAAATTAAATTTAAATTTTTATTTTAATTGTAATCATCTAATGATTTTTAGGTGGTTGCTAAATGTCTAGCTTGATCTCACGGAGTAGATGTAAATTTATTCTTATGCAAAAGCATAGTATAGGAGCGGAATCTTTACCCTTATCTAATCTAAGAGGATAATACTGCTAAATAAAGTTGTGATAGTTACCAAAAATAAAAATGAAGTTCTGATTTTTAAAGGTCACATTTATTTTGAGTAGTTTTTGCCATCATTCATAACATGTCAAACTTTATTTTAGTGATCCACTTTAGTGAGAGAGCAAAAGTGCCAAATAGAATATCAACGTTTGTTATTTTATATATCAAAGTAAAAAGATAATGAAAGGCATTAGTGGTACTTCTTTCAAAAGAAGAAACAAAGGCATTTGCAATTTTTAGTTCTTCCAAAGGAAGGAATCAAGGAAATACTTCCAAATTCTTGATCCCGCAGGAAATCATGATCATCTCTTAATCTTTTCTCATATTTTTAGTGAACTTATAAAGAAGAAAAACCTTTCAATTTATGCAGTGGCTTGTTGTTAGGCTATCTTTCTATTACTAGATCTTTTGATCATTAAAATATGAAATGGAATGTCTACAATAAGACCATTTATTTTTGGTACAAAGAGTTCACAACTAGTATTGATTGTTAGATGAAATCGGGTGCAAGGGGGATGCGTCATTGATTAAGTATGGTATCCAAAATAAACTTTCTCGAATGTTGTGATAATACTTCAATTTGTTAAATATCACATTTAATAGCTAAAAATGATTATGACCTTCTTATCCAAAAGCAAATGGTCTCCTAGTATACAATCTCAATATGAAAAAGGTAGTATAATGTCCAGTCTTCTAAAAAAAATAGAGCCACATATCATATAGAGCAGAAATTGCAATTGAAAAATTCTTAAATTGATCATCTCGATCTTGATAATTATCTATCTTAAAGAAAAATATTTGAAGTCTTGACAATAGTTTATATTGTAATACATTATTTGGACCATTTAATTTCAAATATTTATAGATATGCTAAATATGTACCAGTTTTGAAATTTCAAAGTTTGCAATCATATGCAAAACTAGATTTTTAGTCCATCACAAGGTTTCCAATATCAAAACCGCATTTTCAAGCTCGATATTGAGGTGCGCCTTTACTTTTTCTCACGATGCATGTGCTTTGTATGAACGGCATCTAAAAACTATAGCTTGGTATCTTAAGGGTATTTTTATTTTAATTAACGCCAAAATTGTTATTCTCCCGAGAATTGTATAATGTCTATTTACTCTTTCAGGTAAAAAGACTTATTTTAGGACCTAAAGTTTTAGGGATGTATTTAACCTCTTCAACTTATAAAATAAGTGGAGCTAGGAGCAAGCCGGGCTAGGGGCCAAGCTACCCCTGACGCCAGTTCCCAAAGGGGTGGCCAAGCCCTAGCCTTATTAGGCCGGCCGAGTCAAAAAAAAAAAAAAGAGCCTTATTATGCCGGCCGAGTCAAAAAAAAAAAAAAAAGAAGAGAAAGAGGGGACCAGGCCGCGCCTAGCACAGCCCTACCCTCAAGTTGTGGTTCCCTAGGCCTCGTCCGGCCCCAGTTTTTTTTTTAGAGCTGGGCTGATAAGCGAGGGCAGGACACCTAGCCCATTGCCCCTTAAGACTGACCTTAATGAAAAAATAAATAAAATAAACCTAATTGAAGTCTGTATATTTAGAAAAAAAAATTATATCAAATTTGAATCTGTCCAATTCTTTGAAAGCCGAGATGTAAATTTCAAGACCTTGAAATTCAAATTTCTTCATTTCGGAATAATGACCAAAGATTCTTGGGCAATTTCCCAAAATTTTGTACCGAAAAAGTCCTCTAAGGGAGTCCATGTGATGGGTATGTATGATGTTGCTGAATTCTAACCATGTCGGCATACATGCATGATGCATGTACATGACAAGTGAGATCATCATATTCCCCTGTCCCTTGCCTCAGTATCTGAGATGATATATCTCCTTTTTGGGCCATGCCCTATAAAAGGGCTCTGTGGGCTACTTTAGGGTTTTAGGGTATCGCAAATAAACTCAGTTTTTGAAATGTATGCGGAAGCCGGTTTGCTGTTCCCTTACTGTCATGGCTTCTCAAATGAAGTTCAGCATTTCGAGGAGTTCTGCCGATTTCGAAAACAAAATGCATGGGTCCGTCTCATTTCTTCTCTATTTACTGTTTCAAAGTTTTTTTTGCTTCTTTTTTTTTTTTTTTTTATCTATTGTTTGTTTTCTTGATTTAGAATGAGTTTGCAGGTTCTAAAATTTGATTACATTTAATAAAGTTTTGGTTTATTTGTTTGAGTTATTTATATACAATCTTATGAATTTTTTTTTTTTGGGTGGGGAGGGAGAGAATGGGATGAAATCGTTTTCAATTTTGAATTTGTTAGTCCCCCTTTTTTCTTGGTTTTTTTTTTATGAGTTTTGGAGGAGATTACTGTATGGGTCTTGAGGTTTTATAGGCCTTGATGAGTGCTGTTTGCAGATTTGGCCTGAAATATTTTATTTTGGGATGTAAATATGACAATAAAGGAATTAAAAGATTTGAATAATGATGTACTTTGTTTAATCTTTGTTTTTATTTCTTAAGAGAGTTAAGGAATATGGGACGTTTTGTTGCTGTTGCTAATAGCTGCAGTGGTAACCGTGAATTTTGTTTCTGTTTAATTTTCATTTTTGTAATTGATAATTAAAATGAATTTTTCTGTTTTGTGGCCATCGTTTCTGTTGCCTATACATTCATTGAAATTAATTTTTTTGCTGATTTTTTCTATTTGTAATTGTTTTGTTAAAAAACATCCATTAATGGAAGAAGAATGGAAATTAACTGACTCCTTAAGTGGTATTTGGACCTTTTACTGTAAATGTCAGAGTAAAATCTATGTCGAACTTCCATTTTGTTTTCTTGGGACAACTCTTTTCTCAAAAATCTTGTTATAAAAGTTGCAAGAATAGTTCTAATTTGGCTAAGTTTTTAGAAAATTTTACAGTGTTTCCCTCTCTTTCTCTCTCTTTCTCTCTCTCTCTCTCTCTCTCTCTCTCTCTCTCTCGATTCTGTGTTTGCTTTTGATATTTGGAACGGAATGACGTAGCAGGTTCAGTTTTTCACTAGCTAGATTCCCACTTCTTTCATGATCTTTCTTTTATGGAAGGCTTTGCCCAGAATCTTTTTCCTTTTCTAGAAACTCCATTTACTGTATGTATCTCTGCACTTACAAAATGGGTTTGGCCTCTTGGCTTGATGGTTACGGCACTGGAGGCAATATATAAGGAAATGTTCGATTCCCAGCTGACCTTCCCAAAAAAGCAAAAAAAGGGGTGGGGAATTGGGGAAGCGATGCACTTTTCTCTGTTTTTAGTGCTACTGTTTCTCTTATCTCCACTCCTTTGTCTTGATTCATGTTTTTTAACCAAATTAGGGAAATATGTATTTTGCTTTCATTCTTATGAGAAGTTTGTGTATATGTTTATAGGAAAGGACCTGGCAATTATTCAGAAATTTAGGGTGAATTATAAGTTTCTTCAGCACTTTCCTGAGTTTGCCAAAGTTTATCTCTGCCTCTAGCTGAAACCTTGGGAGATTGAGTAAAAGATTTTATAAATGAGAAGACAGTTATGATGTTCGCTGATTGTTGCGTATTTAGCATTCTTTTATTTTTTTAATGTTGGAACCACTTATTAAATTTATATCTGTACTTCAACCAAAATTGGGTCGAGAAATATAATGCTACCCACTTTGTTCTTTCTAGTTTTGAACTTATTTTCAGTTTTTTAAAGATTAGAGAAATTTATAAAGATACCCATGAGAGATGCACTAAATCTAACATTTTACACATATAGTTGGATTTGATTTCAAATACACATAAAAAGACACATTATCATGAGTTAAAATAATTGCAAATGTGTAAAGTGTTAAATGGTGTATCTCTCATAGGTAGGATTTGATTTTATGATACCCATAAAAAGACCCATTATCGTGAGTTGGAATAGCTGCAAATGTGTAAAGTGTTAAATAGAGTATCTCTCATAGGTATTATTATAATAAATTTTCCTTAAGATTATAATTTTCTTATATAATATAACTTTACTGGTTGTAATTTTTCATAAAGTTAGTTTATACTCAAGGATCTAAGCATAGTTTTATTTTTCAAAAAGTTGCCAAAGAAAGAAAATGGGAAAGGAGCATGACTATGCATGTGGATCTATGATCTATCTTCTTTTTGTGTGTTTAATGAAGAACGTTATTGTAATTTAAATTGTTGAGCATGTTGATCTACATCATTCTCATACTGTTTTTTTATTTCATCATTTAGTGTGGTGATAAATTTCAAAAATGTTGTTAGTTTGGTCAAGTACTTAGTTTTATGATGTGGTCTTCGAACTGCTTAGGTTCAACTCCTTCCTTGTGCTGTTAAACAAGATCCGCTTTCATTTCTTAGATCATGGATCATATCATAAGCAAACCTGCTAAAATTTTGGTGAATATATTGTAGACACTCTGCCCCTAATTTCAACTGATATAAACCTGGGGTCTGAACTTTTCCTAATTGATGTTTCAAATATTTCCATTTTCTGAAGTTACTGAAACCCAGAGTCAGCTTTAACCCAAGCTGAGTCGTTAGTTGTATAGGATTGACCAAAAAGATTGAAATATGCATAGTGTCATTGGAATAAGATTTCTGAGAAGTCATAAAGACTTGATCTTTTTCCTTATTCAATCACACCCTACTTTCCACTGAATTAAGGCAGTTGGTTATGGAGTAACTCTTGCGGCCATTAGATGAGAACAGGGCATTTTGGGGAAGAGATGCCTGAAGAAAAAGGTAAAAGGCTGCCAAGAACCAAAGAAATGATGTTCAGTTTTTAACTGTTTTACTGGATCTTCCACTGTCAAACACTTGCCTGTCTTTGAAAGATCTTTGTCAAGTTAGTACCCTGAATCTTGACCTTGTCCTATGCCCAAGGAGTGAGAATTCAAAATCTGACTGCACTGAAATCTTTGTGCCTTGGAACCTGTTTGAATTAATGTATTTGTGGTATTTCCCTTGTTGTGTGCATTTTTTTGAATCCCCGTTCTCATCATATAATTTCTTGTGTTCTTGATCCATCATGAAAGTTCATCTTTTTTAGGTCAAATACCAAAGTTTGGTACTTGAGTTTGCCTTTACTTCTTTTAAAAGCTTATGTAGCATATGTCCTTTTAGAACCTATTTTCTTTGTGATCAATGAAGATGATAAAGAAGCTATAATTCCATAAATAGTCTTATGCATGAGTTTGTTTTTCTTTTTTCTTTTCTTTTTTTATGAAATTTTTTCTTTTTTTTTTTATGAAATTCTTATGGCATGGATTTCAAAAGTAACCCTTTGATGCGGTACTGTTTCTGTTGCTTTTGACGTTTCATTAGTTAATCAAATCATCTGTTAATAACAGCAAAATACTGTTTGAATTGGACATTTAGAAGTTTTCTTCTCAATGGATGCCTTCCTGTACTGTTTGGCATGTGTAGCTGTTCAATCAGCATGATTGGTGAATCATTGTGCACAATTTTTCCCTTATTTTTTAAAGTTTTGCCTCATCTCCTTAGGTTCTTTAATTTCTCTTTGTTTATCACTACAACGGCATGTTTAAGGGTTATAATAGTACATGGTGAGGTCATCAATATACCATCAATGATTGGATTTTATGGTTATGGACATGGGTGTTCTTGCAATATATTGCTTTTTAATAAACAATCCCTTTCTACCACATTCGTTTAGGAATTATCATTTTTTATATCTGGGCTTTCATCCTTTGCTTGATTTGGCAATCTCCCTAAAATATTGTGAATTATAACTTCTAACGCATTCCCTTTTTACGCTGTTCTCATTCTATATATGGCCATTTATATAGAACAACTTGGTACAAACTCCATCAATATTGGAATACGACCTTGGAGAAGGTGACCTGTTCAAAGCTCCGGAGACCATCCCAGAAGAACCTCCTATCCTCATCGATCCCTTATCAGCCATGTCAATAATGTCAGATAAGGCCTTGGAATTGGACACCACCCATCTCCTTAATGAAGTTTTTCATGGGTATGAGAAAGAGTTGGGTAGCATAGGTGTGGAGATCGAAGGAGGTGTGGAGATGGAAGAGAAGAAGAAATCAGATGGGGATGATGGTGTAGATAGTGACATTAAGAGAGAGGTGGAATCAGAAGCTATTCAGAGGAGTGCAAGCTTAGGGTGTCTGCGTTTGATGGATACGGGTGGTAGTAGATCTACAATGCCGACATTTCTGGATTTTGAAGGGGTGGATTTAGGAGCTGCATTTGGGATGAGGAGGGCATATAGTGCAGGAGATATTCAGGTTGGACTATTCTTCTAGTTATGTTTTATTTTATCTGTTCTGATGAGTGGCCTCTTTTATCGTTTTATTTCACAGGTGGATTTAAGAAACCTCGGGAATTAACTTGGGTTATGGGTGTTGATTTTTCTGCAATGACTGATCGTTTGCTTTCTTCCCCCTGCTTGCTACTTTGCATTCCCGACACTCGCTTCTCTGCAGTTATTTTTGGCCTCTTGCAAGTCTTTAGTTTTCCTTTATTTTGGTTTTTTTGAAGTGGTTTTGATTTTTGAAATTGCAAGTGTTGCTGGAATTCTGAAAAATATTATATTTCTACCACTGCATTAGTTGGTGTCATAACCTGTAGAAATTTTAGGCATATCTCCTATTGGTGTATGCAAAGCTGCATTGTTCATTATCTCTTTAGATGATAGGTAACTGCTCTAAATGATTTTAATGTGACAATGTTGTCCCTGCATCGTTGGTCATGGGAAGACCTGTCTCTCTCAGACACTCATTTGTGGTGCTTTTCGTTGTCTGTTATGTTTATGTGCACGTGAGTGTGATCATCATTGACTCTCTTGGGGTCAGATGGTTATCCTCCAACTTAGGAAAAAAGATGGTGTCCGCTCATTTTTGAGGATGGGATTTATGATAGAAGCAAGTTTCCACTTGACATGCTCCCCACGAGGATAATTCCCTCTCTCTATGTGCCTTTTAGGTGTCTGTCTCATAAGAAAGGTAGGTGGTTGCCTTCTTAGAAGTATCTTTCTTAGATTAGTATTATTTTGAGGGTTATTGTTAAAGACTGGTGGGTTCTAAGGACCCTAAGTCAGATTTGGAGATGGCTAGTTTGTTACCAACCTTTTTTTCTCTTGGAGAGAATTCTTTTGGAACTTCTTTTGCCTATAATTTTTGTTTCCTTATTTTGTATACCTTGTTTTCCAAAGCATGATTTTACAAGTTGCGATTCACTAGCTCCTCTTTATAGTGAATCTAGAGTGAAGTACGTTTGTAGTGAAGTATGTTTACCTCCTCCAGGTTATTAGACATAAAATAACTACATACTTTTTGAGTGGAGGTTGAACCTATCATTTTGAAGCGCAATAATGAAAACAACTGCCTAAAGGGCTGAAATTACATTGGCCCTCTTGTGTATTTAATGCTCCATCAGCCAATGCTTTATGCATATTTTTGTCATTGGCCAACTAAATCACTAAAAATGATGCCACCCAAAACTTATTTTCTATTTGACTGGGTGAATATTTTGTGACCCAAAAAAATGGTATGTTTATGTTCTCCATTGCGAAGGGAATATTGTCAAATCCTTGTTTTGTATATATGTGCACTTGCGTTTTCAAATTTCTACTTGGTACTTGTGAATTTGCAAGAATACACACATACTAAGAGATGTTTAGATGTGTCTGCAAATTCTACAGGATGTTCGTGGTCATTGATTTTGGGTTTTATGACAGACACTTGGTAATAATGGTAATCCAGCAAACATTATCAGCCGTCCTCTTGAGAGGCAGCTAACAGTTGGGAATTACACCCATGAAGAGCGCAAGGAGAGACTTAACAGATACTGGAAGAAGAAGACCAAGAGGAATTTTGACAGGAAGATTAAGGTAATGAGCATTGTGTGATAAATCTAACTTCCCATCATTTTGTATATTTGCATGTATAAAGGAGAAAAAGGAAGCTGTCAAAGAAGGAACTCCAGATATTCAAAACATAGCAACAAATATCATGAAAGCTTCAGAAGATTACATCCATGACTTCGATATTTTTACCTTAATGTTTTCAAAAAGTTTATAATTTCTTGAACAATAAATGCATTCTCAAGTGTAGAAATTTTGTTTAAAATTTACCGTTTACCAAGCATTTTCATTGTTTGTTTCTTTGACAGCCATTGGTTTTGAATTATGATGATGGCTATTGCTTGTTATTGCAGTATGCCTGTAGAAAGGCATTAGCGGACTGTCAGCCTAGAGTTAGAGGGAGGTTCGCAAAGATGGATTGAGTCCAACTAAGGTTCTTAAGCTGCCAAAGTGCGAGGTTCGTTTCAGAAGAGCTATATGTGCAATCAATCAATAAATAGGAGCTATGCGTGTAATATCCAACAGAGGCTTATGCCTGTTTGCTGTTAAGCTATGTATGCTATGTAATCCGTTAGGCTTCACCACTTTGCCACCATATAGTAAGCCTTGATGATTGTGTTGCTTCTGGTTCAGGTCTTACTAATGGCATGTATCTGCTAATGTTGTAAATAACTCTGAATAAATGTAACTGGCAATCCAAATTTGGTTCTTGTGGAAAAAGATAGTATTCTGGAGTTCTCAAAAGAAAAAAAAAGAGAAATGGTGTTATGGAGTGTTTTGTGGCAGCCTAGATAGAGTGAGCTTGCTCAGTTTCTGTCATGGTAATCCAGAAACGCAGTTCTTTACATTGTAGAAGGTGCTTCTAATTTGACGTCTAATTGCTATGAGTGATTGTGACCTAATTTTTCCAATTTCATGACATATTTTAAGCCATCCAATTTGACGTCCAATAGTCACGAGTGATTGTGACTTGTTTATAATAATGATAAATAATATCGTAGTATACAACCTTTATATGAATGTGGAAAAAGTTTATATGAAGTTGATGCCCTAAATAATCAAATCAAAGCATACCTAAAAAATTCATTGGAAAATAATGATTTGATGTTGATCAACCCTCAAATCCGATCATCTTGACCTTGAGATTTACCTTGAGATGTATGGATTTAAAAAAATGAACTTAAAGTTTTGGAAATAGTGCATCATATATGCATTATGTAGACAATCAATTTTCATGATTTTCAAGTGTTCAAATATCTACATGATCTACATTTGAAGTCTGAAATTTTATAATTATAGATTAAAATAAATTTTCAGGCCATCATAAATATTTTTAATAATGAAATGACATATTTCGGGGTGCGCTTTACTTTGATCATTTAGGGCATCTAGCCTTGTAGAAACCACACAAAATATTAATTGCCATTAGTTTTTTATAAAAATATCTATTTTACCCTCTTAGAGATAAAAAATATCCTCACTAAAAAACATATTGTATTACAAAATAATAGTATATAAGTGTACAAAAAATTTGTTGAGTACAATTATAAAAGAAAAAAATTTATATAAAACCGAGGCTTTAAACAATCAAATTAGAGCCCACCTCAAAAATTTCCATAGAAGAGGTTGTTTCGATGTCCAAATATCCTCAAATTGATCATCAGGTGTATGAACATGAAACAAAATGGATTTCAAGTTTTGGAAATTGTGCATCTTGTAATGTAGTTTTTAGACTGTTAGTTTTCAAGATTTTAAATTTTATAATTAAATATGAAAATATATTTTAATGCTATCACAAACATTTCCAGTATTGAAACCACATTTCTTGATACTATTTGAAGGTGCACTTTACTTTGATTGTTTAGAGTCTCGACTCTATACAAACTGCACCCATTATAAAATGCTTCTATAGTGCGAACACCCTAACAAAATCTTATATATATAAGTGGGTGTAAAGGTGACATGCATCTAAACCATGCTGAAATATACACTTTCGATTGCAGGGTAAGGAGGTGGACTTTTGCCACATCTTCTGTGAACGTAATACGGAAGCTGATACTCTTGCAAAAAAAAGGGTGCTTTGATGTAACTTGCTCTCTCCGTTCTGGTTGCCTCCTTTTTTTCTTTTTGCTCTTTGACGGTGTAACTCTTCATTCTCAATGAAATTATTATCGTTTCAAAAAAAAGAAAAGAATATACACTTCCGTTGTCGAAAACCCTTATGATTGCCTGAAAATCTATTTTCACGCCCAACTATGAAATTTAAAATTTCAAAAATAGTGTTGATAGAACATATTTATGAACACTAAGAAATTCTAAAAAATCTTGAGAATTGACGTTTTCAGATAATGTGTTACACGATGCATTATTTTTATGACTTGAAATTTTTCTCTCTCTATTTTGTTTTTTTAATTTATTTCCATATGTTGAGGTAGAGATAACCAAGTGGAGACTTTTCAGCATTGAAACAACTTTTTCTAGTAGGCTTTTGAGATGTGTCTTACTATTATGTAGGTGGCAATGGGTCGGGTCGGGTCTGAGGACAGACCCAGACCTGGATCCGACCCAAATTTTTTTTGAATATATTTAAATATTATGTTAAATCTATACATGTATTATTTAAATATTATAACTAAAAATACATCGTTATATATATATTTAAATCTATACATGTATTATTTAAATATTATAACTATATATATATGGGAAATAATTTGAAATATACTTTAATTTTCGTCTAATTTAAAAAAAGAAATCTCAACTGTCATAAACCTCGTCTACACCTACACCTTCTTCTTCTTTTTTTCCTCAATTTTGGCATTTTCTTAACCAAAATAGCCTTCACGGTAATTGTATTACAGTAATGACTACCGCATTACGGTACTTTGAGTACCGTAATGATCAGGCTAAGCATTAACGTACTTTAAAGTACCGTTATGCTTAACCTAGTCATTACGGTACTTAAATTGCAGTATGATGTGGCAAATGAGAGAGAAAGAGACTCAATGAGCATTATGGTTTGTAAAGTATCATAATGTTTAACATGGTCATTACGGTACTTAGAATACCGTAAGCCCTAGCCTGACCATGACGGTATTTAAAGTACCTTAATACGGCAGTCATTACGGTAATACGACTACTGTCAAAGGTATTTTTGTAAAGAAGAATGTCAAAATTGAAGAAAAAGTGTATGAATGAGGTTTATGAAAGTGGATGGTTTTTTTGTTAAATAGACAAAAATTAAAATATATTTCTGATAATTTTTATTAAAATATTATATATTAAGTATTATTTAAATAAAAACACTGTTCGGGTCGGGACCAAGTTGGGTCTACATAGACCCATACTCAAATAATGTTCAGGTTCAATATTTGGACCTGTACCCAACCTGCCAAGTCCAATTTTTGGACCCACACGCAGACCTAGGTCTGGTCCGGGTCCGTTACCACCCCGACTATTATGTAATAAAACTCTCTGAAAGGGGAAAGCTCCACGAACTAGTAGCGTGCGTCCACTATCTCGAGCCTATGTGGTAGTATCGTTAGGGCAGTTGTATAAATGTGTTTGTATGTACGAGGGAATGCGACTCCTAAGGCAATCAAGTAACTGGAAACGAAGACAAACGCAAACGGGGAACCAATTCACGTAAGATCGTATGTGATTGAGGGCTTTTTCAATAAAATGTACAGCTCGGTACAAAGGAGCCGCTAGATGTAATGCTTCATTTACATCTCTACCTACTTTTATGCAAGGAAGAACACCTTTCACTTAGGTTTCAAGACAAAATATAGACCCTCCAAGGAAGAAAGAAAATGTAGACACTAACCCGAGTCTTGAGTACAATCAGTGTGTAACTGATTTTTTAATCATTATCGAAAATCAAATAGTTTAGGCCCACTCTTGTCATAGGAACATGACATAAGAAGGTATTTTTTTTTTTTTGGGTAATTTTATGGGGAAGACCTATCCCTACTTTTTTTCTTCAAATAGTTTAAGAGTTAGTTTTTTTTTTTGAAGTATTAGTGGGGTGGTGTCGGTGGGAAATGAAATCCGCGACGTGATGACTAGGGTGTGGAGATGCAACCACGACGACCCCACAACAAGGGGAGTGGCTTTACATTAACCGATACCCATAAAACGTGGATTATCTTCGAGAAATCTTAAGTGAGTGGTTGCCCTTTCTTGACAGGTGGTCCATGGAAGAGCAAATGAGCAGTGTTTGCCTCTCTCAAACTATGAATCTTTTTTATTCTGATATTTACCGCACCTATACAAGTCTGAAAGAGGAATTCAATATTACAAATCTCATATAAAAAAGGATAAAAAATGAATGGGATATGGCTCATCAAAGCTGCCCTTCTGATATCTATCATAATTTTCCACATAAAAACCACTTGCAAATCAAGGTTGTATGGTTCCAAAAGCTTTGAATTCTGGTGGAGGATCTCTAGCAAAATATATTTAAATCTCAATTTGGATCAATTTGCAGTTTGTACAATCAGCTATATTACAAGTCAAATTACTCCCAAAATATGAAATCATCGAAAAAGACTCTTTTATGGATTAAAGGGCATTGAGTGAGAACATTCACTTATAGTTTTGAGAGATGTCACAATTTGAATACATGAAGGTCTATTGCCTGATGAACGATACTTAATGAACGGTCCTCGACCTCCCTTCTATAAGAAAATCAATCAAATCAAGACCAAATGGCCTTAAATTTCTATTCTTATTATGCCTCTAGAAAAACTTCCACAAAATTTCATCTTGATCTTAGGAAGTTTACTCCTAGACTATTAGACCATTGATCAAGCCATCAAGCATTCCTTGACCAGTGGATAAATCTTTGATTTCCACTACGTAAGAAGTGAGTTCAAATTGAATCCAAAACTGCAAAATTAAGCTTTATGATGCCTTGCGATTAAAATTCCAATCAGTTTCTTGTCGATTCGAGGAAGATATCTTACAAGCCGCTTGTCAAACCATATGGCATATCCTGACCAATGGTGGATAAACCTTCACCTGTAATGGATACAGAAGTGTGTTTGATCAAGTTGGAGTGACTTTAAAACTTTAACTTTAAATTTTGATGCATTGAACATCACTAGCCCAAAATTTTACTTTAATTCATGAAAGTTGGTTTATGGATCATTGGTCAAACCCCTGAGGCATTCCCTGACCAACAATGGCTAAATTCTTGACCTCCAATATAAAAGAGGGGTATAAGATCCAGGTCAAATAACATGAAACTCTAAAGTTAGATTTAGGATGCCTTAAATTAACATTTACCAAAGTTTTTCATCAATTTGAGATAGCAAGTTTATGGACTGACTGCCAAGCCATGAGACATTCCTCTGGCGGACATTAGATTGAAAGAGGCATCAAATGGTATATACCATTTGATGTTTAGGGCTATGATTCCAACCGCTTGTGAAGTTCCAGAACGATTTCAGCTGATTTGACTAGCTTTTGAATCGAACCTTTGGCTGAGCCTACTGGAACAACAGCCAACCTTATAAAGTCGCGGTCTCGAACTTATTCAACCAACGAAAACTCCTCAAATGATCCAATCTTCATGAAAATTCATATGCAAGCTTTAGGAGTGTCATTCCAAGTTCCAACTAGTTGTGACATTTCAGGCCCAACTGAACTCATTTTAGTGAGTTTCATATTGGACTGTTAGGCGGGTCTACTACAACGGTGGCCAAGCTAATAGAGCAGTGAAGCAGATTTTTAGGAATGGATAGTGTGAGTTTTTAAGGAAGGTGTATTTTAGTGTAAGTTAGGTTTTTTTTTTTAAAGCTTATCATAGGATAAAGTTGCTTAAAAGATTTTAGTTAAATTTATTGAAGAATTTAAAGGGTATTAAAATAGGAAAAAGATAAAGGAGTTAGATATGAGGAAGATAAAGACCGACAAATATGGTGCATAATTTTTAAAAGAGATTATATTTTCATGAGAGAGAAAATAGGGAGAGAGATCTAGAGAGATGATATTTTCGCGAGAGGATGTGTTTTTTCTTCAAAGTCTATTTAAAGGGAGATGTCCTTTCATTGTAAAAGATAAGAGAATGGTCAGAGATTGAAATTGAGTAAAATTTGGTCTTATGAAAAAATTGTTTGAGTGAATTCCCTCACCCTGATAGAGGGTATATTCTCTCGTTGCGGTGGATTCTCTTGCAGGTAGATTCCTTTGCAGACCCTAAGAAAAGATATAGTCTCTCACCTATTATAAGTATTTTTTTCTCCATCCATCATCGAGCTTATAGAGCCTATTTGGCCAATAAAAAAGGGGTCAAACATGATCCAATGTTCAAGAAATTGCATCTATAGGCTCTAGGAATATCATTCCAACTACTCTTCAAGTTTCAAGCTCATCTAAGCTCATTTTACTGAGTTTTATATTAGACGGCTAGCCAGGCTAGTAGCGGCCAAGCTTTTAGAGCCCTAGATGAATCAAACACGATCAGATCTTCATGAAACTTTGACCATAGGCTTATAATGCATCTACTAATTATCCATCTGTCTAGACTTAATAGGGTTAAATTTTACTACCAACATTGGCCAACAATCCTTGAACATTGGTGAATTAGCCTTTTCAGTGGCATGGCCTGATGTATATTTGGATATTATCCAGTCCAAAACACACCCAAACATAATTTCTTAATGAGATGTATCTCTTTGTGAGATTATATGGGGCTTAGTACACCGTTGTAGTTTCACCAGTTGCACATATGGCATTAGCAATATAAGGTGTCTAGTGTTGTTAGTTGTTGAACGCCTAGTAGAAAAGTATTGTTGATCTAAAAGCATGTGCAAAAAGTTCATTATTGGGTTGATGATTATGCAATATGTCATGACAATTGATAAATACGGGTAAATGCATGGCTTATGCTATTAAACATATGTACTTACTAACATGAGAATGAAGCACGAATCACTCAAGTGATCACAATAAAGCTCTTCTCATTAACATTTGAATGATTTGTAAAATCAAAGTAATGTCAAAATAGTAAGGGCATCTTCAATGTGGGGTTTTCCCCATGTTTTTTTGCCTAAATTGGTATAAAAGCAATCATTTTTTAACCAAAATTACCTCAAATTCACTTTATCTTTTCTCCTGGTAACAATAGCTACAGCCCAGAAAAATGCACCCATTGAAAAAAGGTTGTTGTTTGTATAGTGCCGAGGCTCTAAACAATCATAGTAAAGCGCAACTTCTAATAGTATTAAGAAATAGTATTGAGTAAAGCTTTAAAATAAATTTTTATTTTTAATTTTAAAATTTAACGCTTTAAAAATAGTGAAGATCAAGTAGATCTAGGAAAACTTGAAAATTGATGGTCCAAAAATATGTTACAAGATGCACTATTTCTAAAATCCATTTTTTTTCTCATGTCCATGCATCTTGATGTCGAGAGGATCAATTTAAGAATATTTAGACATCAAAACAACCTCTTCTAGTGAAATTTTTGAATTGCGCTCTAATTTGATTGGTTAGAGTTCTCATTGAAACAAAGCTCTGTATAATAGAAGTAGCATTAGGAGAGCTAGCTATGATGTGCTATTTTTTTTCTATGCATGCCACCATGTTAAAGCTCCATATAATAGAAGTAGGATTAGGAGAGCTAGGTATGGTGTGCTAGTTTTTTTCTATGCATGCCACCATTTTAAAGCTCAAGTTGGCTTGTATTTGGTTTCGATGAGCGCACTCCATATTTTTCTCTTTTGTTTGTTCTTTGCTATAGTTTATACCTAGGAGAATCAAGAAAAAAGAAAAAAGAGGAAATTTATATTTGACTACATATTGTGCAGTTTGGAGGAGCCCTTACATTTTGTTCTTTGTTATAGTTTATACCAAGGAGAATCAAGAAAAAAGTGGAAATTTATATTTGACTACATATTGTGCAGTTTGGAGGAGCCGTTACATGTTGCATGATTATCTTGATGGTTGTTATAACAATGTATGCATACTAACTGTTTGATAATATTTCTCACAGTGATTATAGATATAGTTGTTGCATTTTTTATTTTGCCACATATTAAATTAAAGTAATAAGCATTTTGATATAACAATTGCTTCCTATGTTAATTAAATTGGTATGTAACGCCTATATCAACTTTATACAAATGAGTTTGAAAAGATAAGCCCCGAGGAGATCTCTAATTAGTGGGTAAACATGTTCAAACGTTCGACATGAAAGTGGGTAGGACATTCCAATAATCAGCCGTTGTGTTTGCCCCCATTCATGATCTACTACTTTGTTCCACAATATACCCAATAATACAATGGCTTTGAAATCGATCGGTTTGCTCACTCCCAAATCATCCAGTCCTCATGTTTGGATTTTACTGGAGCTGCACCCTTGAAACCCAAATGTGCAATACAGTAAGTTCACCTATTCAACATATATCAAGTCACAAGTCATAGTAAAAATTTGATTTGATCAAAAACTGGTTAAAATAAATATTTGACTAGTCTAACCTAATGATTTCCACTCGCTTCGACTAGCCAAATAAATTCAGATGCCTTTTTTAATATATTACATATTGTTGAACCATTATTCATATTTTTTCTTTGTCTATTATTTGGTCAAACCAATCCAACCAATAATTGAACCTATTCTAATCAGATCAGAACCCTCACCAATTCCATGGCCAACCATTCCTGATAACATCAGGAAAAATAGTTCACTTTTTTGTTTAGTATTTCATATCACGAGAAGAATGATATTAAACATGCACCGCACCAAGCCCCTTGCAACTGCCTGCTAAAATAAAATATCCCAAGTTCCATACTGCTTGACAATGACTCAGATACATCAAAATCATACATCTAACAAAAATAAAAATAGTTAAACAAAACCATCTTTACTGTGCACATTTCAAAACCAACCACCCCATTTTAGTGGACCACCTACTCGCATTTAGACTTCAACTCCCCTCCATCTTCTCTACAATTTTATGCCCTTTCTTTTCTCTACAATTTTATCCCTTTGAAACTCATTTATTCCCCCAATACAGTAGAGAAAGAACTGTAGAAAAATGGGACACAGAAGCCCAAAAACCAATACCCCGAATCAAGCCCAAAAATCAAATCCAAATATCAAAAGAGAACTTAGGCACCCTAAATCTAAAGGGAAAAACATAATAAATGCCAGTGGCTTTGGTAGAAATTTTCCAAAAATCAAATCCAAATAGGTGGTGGAAGTTGACAACTTCCAAGTCATAAGGTTCACTGCGCATAAGATTACTCGAGCAAGAGAGAATCTAAAAAAATAATAGATAAGAGAGAGAGCACCTTTGCACTTTCTTACTTCCAACATTTTTTACTGGTAGCCCAGGCAAATCGTAAACCATACTAAAACTCAATTCTTCTTCAGAGGGTGCCATGGCTCTAAATATTAAGCCTGGCACTAAAAGCGTAGTGTCTAAAATATGAAAACCAATAAAAGACCCCTTAGATTTTATCATCATAGTAATGAAATGAAAGTTAATCCATCAGATTTTATCAGCATAGTAATGAAATGAAAGTTGATCCATTAAAAAGCCTCCACTTTGAGGGAGCAACCAAGAGAAGGACAAACAACTACAATTGACCGAAATCAGCCCACCACATACTCAACAATTACAATTCTAAAGTAGAGTCACCATATAACCAAAAGTATCATCATCATCATCCAAACCTTATCCCCATTATTTGGGTCCGTTATAACGAACAAAAAAAACATGTGAATCCCAATACTCCTTTCCAAAAGAAGACCAGCTTCGAGTGTGCCTTCCAATCAAAATCCAGCCACATTCCAATCCTTCACCCCCACTAACCCAGTTTTCAGCAAAGCAGAGAGATAAGAGGATTAAAAAAATACCCCATGTCGACTGGAAGATGTAACTACTGAGTTTGTCCTATTTGGGGGAGAGCCTTCTTTTCTTTCCATGATTATATATAACAAATATACATCATGGTTTGTGGAAGTTTGAAAGGTCGAAAGCCACCATTGCTTTGTTGGCGCTGCTGCTGCTGCCTTTGGGTGACTGGGAAGGTGAGCCTCTGTCTGCCACCCCCTCTAATCTGCTGTTGCGTGGCCCTAAATTTCTTCATCCTCTGCTCCTTCATCCCTGCAAACAGTGAATCTAGGGTCTTGGGCTTCTGCTTCTGCACACCTCTTTCCTACACAAACACAAACCACCGCCGTCTTTGTTTTGGAATTTCCTCTCTATTAACAGAGACACACACACATGACATATGCAACACATGGAGACATGGAGACTGGCAGAGGATATTGGAAACAGTTCAAGCAGCAATACCAGAAATAAAGCTTTCACGTAGCCATCCAACACATATAGGGCATAGGGTGCAAGCTTTCACTAGAGAAATAAAGCATATCGTACAAAACAATTTCCAGTTCTTTTAGTCATGACATAATAGAGAGATGACAAATCATCATTGCGAAATTAAGGAGTGATCTTCTCTCCCGAAGAGTTAAGAAGCCAGTCAGGTAAGTGATTTTCATTCCCTTTTCACTTTCTTAGTTGGTAAATACAGATAAGTTAGATCATAACATAATCTTGTCTACAGTGGAAGGTTAAAAAAAAGAAAAAGAAGAAGAGCCTTTTGGGCTGGTTCAACAATGTTCTTCCTATATAGTACTACAGTGCTCCCATTGCAATAGTGACGAATTGGTGAATGTGCTCAGATGGGCATGACACGGGGTAAATAATAATAGATGAAAACGTGACAAAACATATCTTTGGAAATTGATTAGTCTGCAGAGACAGCTAATCATTGAGCCCCTTCAACATCAGATAATCTATTCTTTAATGAAGACGTGTATCCAAATTGCTAGAACACTGAGCTGAGACTACATACGTAACTGTTATATGTTATATGAATTTTCCTTCAAACATCAAAAAAAGGCTAGTATCAAATATATATATCGGTGATACTGTAGCCATCTGCCTAGAGCAATCACCCATACAAGCATTAAGGGAGGAGATGAAGACCAGCTAGAATATGTTCAAATAGTACACTGGTTCAATTCTCTTCTCCAAAGGAAGGCACACACTGTCACATGAGGCATGAAAGTGGTCCTATATAATAATGAAATCTAGGGTACAAATGGTGTGCTGCAATGGGCAATTACACAACAGGAAGTAAACGCGCCAGCTCATGCAACAAATTACAGTACGTAAAAAATACCACACAAATGAGTAGAGATGTAGGTACGATAGCAGACTACTGTAACAAGAATCGGAGTGCATGTGGGTGCAGTAAGACACCACTGTTACAATAATTAAATTTCTAAACCTAACAGTTAGATAGTAATTAATTAGATTTCTAAACCTAACAGTTAGATAGTAATTAATTAGATTTCTAAACCTAACAGTTAGATATTAATTTGAAAACATGTATTACTCACAATTCTCTAATATAATACAATGGCTTTATATATTTTAATTACTTTTCAAAATGAAACGAACACAAGGCCAAAAAATTCTGCTTCACAGCTTCGGTTAAAAAGACCACGGTTGGCTTCTCCTGCTGATCAATTAAAGTCATATGCTAATTTTTTTCTCTACTAATGATTTCTGTGCTTTTACTCTCCCGTAAAGAACGGTCAATTGCTGATCACTTGTTATATATGACTAACCATCGGTCCATTAATAAGACGCAAGGTATAAGTTAAAGGGCAACATAAAGCATCAGAACTTCAATCAATCATGTAAGATTTGGGTAAGCTAATAGTTGCTCAACATGAATTTCATAGAAGGTAATATAACAAAGTAACAATCACCATTATTATCAAAAAAAGGGAGATAGGAAACTCATGGGAGAGAGGAGGGGGGGTCTGTCATTCGTGTGTTGGGGAATGGAAGGGGATAATTTTTTCTTTCTAGTTTTTGTTTTTGCTTCTTTTTCTTTTTTTTTTGCTGGGGGGGTGTGAGTGAGAATCAACCGTGAAAAACCTCAGGTGATAAAATCATGAAGGGGAAGAATGGAGCAGAAAAACTGAAACCATTTCACAAAGACGAGTACATCAAGAAAGAGAAGAAGCATCATGCAATACAATAACCAGTCAACGGTTTGCAGGAGAACACCATATCAACTAGTCAACAACAATGACAGCTATCATAAAAAACTATAGATAAGTACCTTGTTTGCAGAAAAGCCCTCAGATGCAGTCCTCTGGTTCAGTTGAGGTGCAATCCTGCCATCACAAACATCAATAGAATGTAAATTAAAACAATGCACTTGTTAGAGAAATTTTGATACCCTGATGAACTAATAAACGACACCTCAACATCCTGAGCACAGCTAAACTCTGATAGTAAGAACGCAGCAATAATTTCTGTGAGCATCATCACACAGATAACATGAGAAAATCAGAAACCTTAACAGAGAAATAGCATTTACGGCCCCAATGAATAAACAAAAAAGGAAAACTAAACGACAGATACAAGTCCATTGCAAAGCAGTACTCCCCCTTTTTGAGTTACCATTCACCTTTTGCTCCTCTGATGCAAGACACAAGCTCTGGGGTAACTTGCAAAGGCCAAGCCCACTGATTCAATACACCCATCACAAAGGCAAGGTAACACAATAGACTCAATTTCTCTTCTTCAAATTTTTAGAAGCTCAATTTCTCATGAATAAAGTATTCCACAGTAAAAAGTAGTTGAGAGAGGAGGAAAAATGTAGAAGCACGAAGTAATTGTCCAAATGCGCCTAATTCCTTCTTTTTCTTGAGGATAAAGGGAAAAGCAAGCAACATAACCTAGCGAGAGATGAACCTTCAAACTCCTTCTACAAATGCTTCCAGGTTGCAGAAAGTTCTCCTAAAAGAAAAAGGTTCTACTGCCAATAATGGGTCTCATAAAAACACTGTGCTGGTGATGGTTAGAATCATCTCAAAACATATTCACAATCAAAAGTTTGCCCTGCAGAACAGAGCAGTTAGCATCGGAAACATTTACAACATATGGGGCCCAATTCATCTGGTACAACACCCTATGTGCCCGGTGAACCATGCTAAATCACAAAAGAGAGGAGCAAATCAATCAGTATTCCGAACGCTGACCCTCCTATATCGGGTTCAAATCAGCCAAACACTCCATCTAGAAATGGTTCTCCTATATGAGAAAAAGAGGCTTCTAAGTATGCAGTATACTTTGTCCATTATGGTTAGAACAACCTCAAAAAATATCCTCACAGTCATAAGTTTACACTGCCGAAGTTTCTACATGTCCAATTCAATTTCAAATCAGCCAAAAATGCCATCTAGAAATGATTCACCTAGAAGGAAAGAAGAGAGGAGCTTCTTAGAAGATAACAAGGGTTAGAACAACCTGAGAATATCTTCACAATCAGAAGTAGACACTGCCAAGAAAAGTAGCAAGTGCAAAGAGATAGAAGAGACAGGAGACTCCTTTATCAAAACAGCAAGCTCCCAGTGCAGATGCGGCCAACTTACCCATGCAGTCTCAAACAAAAATCTCCAAAACCCTCAGCACACAATCTTTCAATATTGCAGATCGACAATAATACCTCATCTGCCTCATCCAACGAAACACGAACTTGGAAGTTCTGACCCTGACCATCAAGACCCTGACCATCAAGCGCTAAATAATGTACTTTTCAAGTTAAACCTGGCTCCCAGTACAGAAGCTTCAAGGCAGCATATCCAAGTGTAGAAACCTACAGAACTTTGTCAATAGCAGGAAGGCAAAGAGAGCGAGGGTCTCCAACCGTGAAGAATGAATCACAACAGTAAGTCATCCTTGAGTGGGATAGATCAGATTTGCTATAAGCAATGTATAATGAGAATTAATTAGCAGAATAACAAACTCTCAAGAACAGCTAAGGACCACATATCCTGATAGGTTTACCAAAGAGCCATGAAACGCATCAGGCCGTAGACAAAAATTAACACATATCCTATCTCTACTGTGTATAATATATTAACACAATTGAAATTCGTAGTGACTTTCAACAGGTTGCCTTTCTTGATGTCGAGCCCAGCAATCTACTCCAATATGAAGTTTCGTTATCCCAAACAGTAAGCCCTCTATCTATTCCTTGTTGCAACTTGATTTATTGCCAAAAACTCCAACATTCCCAACCTCAATCGTACATTGCATGCTCCACTCACTAAGTTTGCATTGCCCTTCAAAACATATTCATCATAAACCCCATATTCATCACAAAACCCCATGTTGACTGGCACAACCCCTCCAACAAACTTTTGTACCCCATTGTGAATAAATCTTCACCTTCTAACCATCTCATCATAACTCATCCTTAAACCCATAGGATGCCAAATAGTTCTTCACATGAATGAAGACCCAAAACATGCACTAGTTTCACTCACGGAAGTATTGGATACGCAGGGGAACAGGAAAGTGACATCGACCCTTTCTAATGGCTCAACCCAAGAATAACGCCAAGAATGCAAACAAATGACTTCACAATCCCACAAATTGTAAGACCTTGATTACCTGTCAATAAGAAAGAAAGAAACATATAAAGTCATCACATGGAGAGAGGAAATGGGAAGTACGGAATAGTCAGGAAAATAAAGCAATAGCCATTTCCGCTAAGCAATATGTTTGTACATACACACTTGCCTGCTAATAAGAGCATGCCTACTTGCACATGCACCCATTCATAAATAAACAAACACATGCTGGCAAGTGTGATATATGTACATAAACACATAATTCATGAATTGACAGAGATTATCACAGGTATAACTCAACCTTAAAAAGTCTCATAAACCAATTAGAACAAGAACAAATGCCTAAACAACCAAAATGCAGTATAGGAGATGCAGACTTAAAGTACGACCATACGATTTCATGCACAACTCATATGTAGCCCAGATACTAGCCAAACCTACATTGGATTTTAGTAGAGCAATTTCCAGTTCATAATTTAGAAATGGGTTGGATTTTGGTGCATCAGCTGGTGCAATTATCCAAATGTGGCCTCCTTCACAAGTCCATCTAAGGGATGGGATTTGGACCTAAAATTTCACAGGTCAATAATCTTGAGCACCACGAACATAAAAAGGGATAGAATTTTAAAAGTACAGTATTTTAAATATTGTTTTTGCACCACTCATTTTAATTTTACGCAGATCGTCAGATCCACACCATCTTTTTAGCTGCAAAATCTTATATTTGCAGCAGAGATGCATCTAGCGTAACTTAGCTTGTATTCCAGGTCCTAAATCCATCTCCAAGATGGATTTTTGGACGAGGATTTCATATGAATATGGCCTCATTTTCAATTCCATATTTGACTACTATATTTTCTAACTCCAGTAATATTGAACTTACTGGAGTGGGTAATGCACATGAAATCCTTAAATTTCAGTACAAGAAAACACAATCAACACATGTAGACATACAGAGACACATGTACTTGGTATGCAAATGTATTTCAGTCAACACAGATTGTGGAGGAGTACCTCATCTTGTTCCAGTTAACCCTGGTACGGACGGGAGTCATAGAAGATTTCCTGGCAGCTTCCTTAGCATATGAGAACTGCTGGTTTTTGAAATTCGTCCTCTTCTCAGCAAGTAATCCCTATGTACAGGTAAAGCCTCTCCATGAGTTTCAAAGATCCAGTTCACCAACGATGTTCAAATTCAATTGACTAAGTGGACAGCAATTGTTAGGCCATAAATAGTGTGCTTAAAGACATACCACGCCAATCACTTTTAACTTTTTAAGTCAAGATGCTCAAAGTCTGTGCTTTGAAACTCACACTCAACCCTGGAACCATGGACGGGCCAGGTCTGAGTCCCAGAGTCCAGCTCGACAGAACTTTCGAAAGAAATTAAGAAAGAATCTGAGAACCATGAGACTTGGTCGGTCCCCATGAATTTTCACTCTGGGGGCATACCCTGCCGGGTCCAGGAGACTTGCTCGTCTTAGTCAGACATCAAGAGTTTCAAAGAACTGCACTACACTAAGGCACATTAGGTTGCATAAATCATGCACATAACAGTAGAAAGCCTTCTTTTGTAATTGTTGAATCTAGGTCTAAACAAAAAACGTAATTTTTTAATCTAGGTCTAAACAAAAAACCTACATCTAACCCACCCAATCCATTGTAGGGTCTACCCAAATATGAATATCCTATAAAGATAACCATTGCGTACAACTAGAATGAAATACCTGTCGAAGCGCAGAAGACCGTGATTGCATGAAGAGAGCATTAGAGCCCTTTGCTTGTGAGGAAGCACTTGAAGGAAAACCCCGGTTCTTGATCTAAGTAGTTCAAGAGGCACACAATCATTAGTTGAAACATGATCATTAATTGGACAAACATATAAAATGTCCAAAGCACATCAAAAAGCAAGTAGGCTGAAGTCAACTTACAGGGCCTCGAGGCCTTTTAACTGCTGGCTTCTTGGACATCTTGATGATATCATCTGCAACCAAGAAATATTCTCCAGTAAATAATTAAAATTCTATATTTTTATGCATTTATGTGTGTAAGCACACCCACAAGCATGTGTAAGCACACCCACAAGCGTGCACACCTGAAGCTACCAGTGAACACAAAAACAAAAATGGGAGAAAGAATACCTAAGCTCATGTCCATCTTCTTCTCTGTAAGAGCAATAGCCTCAGTCGTCAATGCTGGTTTGCTTCCCATCTCAGCTGCTCTCCACAATAACATTTCAAAGAAAGAAACAAATAAATTGAAGGAATATGTATGCAATAAGAGCATTAAAAAAAGAAAAAAAAAAGTATTAGGATAAATCATAAATTTATGTATGCAACATTAACAAAACAAGCAACAGAATTATTCGGAAAAACAAACAATTTTCATCACCCGCCTATTTATACAATAGATAGAGCAAACAAAACGAGATTAATGTGCATGGACCAGAACCAGAGAACCAAGCTACAACATAACCAAATTCTCACATAGCTGTAATTTACTAAGATGTACAAAAATTCCCATAAAGTGCTGAGTCGTGCACAGAAAACCGTGCAAATATATGTAATTATCATTACTAAATTAAGAAGCAAATTAAGAAAACAAACTAAATTATCAAAACAAACAACACAATCCTTTTCAACATAGAAAACCATAATAAAAAGGCCATAGATATATTTCAATCGGGTTCACAATAGAGATAAATTAGACATAATTTGTATACCTCAATTTTGATGAAAAAATAACAATCAATGAAGACCTTGACAACTGCACAAGTACAGGAAATCCATGGAATTCACACATCGTCAAGATTCACAACAGAACTTGAAGCACACCTATATCTATCCGCGACAATGAACTACTCATTTAAATCGGAATTCTATAAACAGCATCGCTTTCTCATACACACGTATGTGATTTATATACACCTCTAAGGAGACTATTGGTATGCTATGAGAAAGATCACGAAATGACAAACCACAAGAAGAACAAATTCCATTCAACAAAACTGAGCATTTCATATGCTAAAATATCTTTTAGCATGAATCTCATCATTATAAAAGATAGCAAGCTAGGGCACTCCTGCAGATGCATACCCTATACTTAAAAACCCTCCCATACAGGTGAGCATATAGCCTCATGGCTATAGAAAACAACAGGGAAAATAAATAATTAATTTTCTTATTTTCTCATAAAATAAGTCTGAGTGAATCTATTCTTTTCAAAGTGTTGAACAAATGCAAAATGAGTCATTTTCCCATTAATGCCAATCAATAGGTAACCTGCATGTGGATATCAAACCTCACAATAGCAAGAATGAATGAAAATTATAGATGGAAAATGTGAGAGAGGAAAAGATAAACAGAGAAAAATAAACATGCGGAGAGAGAATGCCACAGGTAAGAATAAGACACAGATGAGAGATTAATGAGTTGAAATAATTCTTGAAAAAAATACACAAGAGTACCAAATAATTTTTTGATTTATTTAATATTGAGGTTTAAACGTATGCGATGAAAAGGATCATCACATATTGAGGGGGTTCCATAGCAAATTCCAATAAATAAATATATGGAAAAAAATCATCAAATAATTAATCACATTACTCGCCAATACGCATCAATTTTAGAAATCTTTATATCAGGAAATATTCCATGGTAAAATTCCCCACAAAATTTAGGTCTAGGGCTTTCAAAACAAAATAAAGAAAACTGAGAGCTAATAAATTCGAATAAAAAATCTCAGAAGATATCAAATCTAGGAAATGAAATACCCTAAAACCATCTAAAGAACCATACAAAGGGTAAAGTGAACCAGAAAACATACATCATGGCACACACAAAAAGAGCTTAAAACTTACATAGTAATGGCGTTCACTAATGGTTCTACAGAAGATTTGAGCTGAGTCTACCAAAACCAAGCTTCTTAAGAAACAAGAAAACTAATAGCAGATTATATAAACCTGATATGAGAAAGATCAAACAATGGGAAAGAAAAAACCCTAAAATTTCAGGTTCTTCAGGGCCCAAAATGTACAAAATTGATTAAAACCAGTACTATGGGAGAGAAGATATCCAAAAAGCTCCGGAACCCTAAAGGTTTTCACGATCCCCGAAATAGAGCATCCGAAGTGGCGTTAAAAAGGAAAGTATATATTTATAGGGTTCGGTAGTCGGCGGACTCCAAAGGTACAGTTACACGAAATTGAATAATGATTTTGACATCCGACAGGGCGTAGAAAATCACCTAAACGGCCCCCGTGACCTGGATATTATGAGGACAATGTGCGCAGAAAAAGTTTTCATAAGGATGCAACCTTATAATGTAGAACTACGGATGCATTTCAAAAATCCATCGAAAAATGTAGTTTTAATGTTGAAAAACCCCTTTAATTAATCATCTCGACATCAAATTGTATAATCATGAAAAATAAAAAGATTTTAAATATAAAAAATAGTATATTTTACAACATATTTTCTATACCGTCTATTTTTAAGATTTTCATATAATTATAAATCTACTTGTCTACAGCTACATATACGTCTGTATGCCAATTGCACCTATAATATATTTCTATTAGATTGTCACAATTAATCTTAAGCACTAAATGTAAAATTGGATGGATGTTGTATTATGTTGACGAAGTTCAAACTTGAAAATAAAATTTTCTACTTTTTTTTTCACACACATAATATCAAGTATTATATGGGATAGTTATAGGTTTTTTAACATCTTTATTCTGAAGATAAATGGTGCGTATAGTATATAATTTCATAATAGTTTATTGAGATTGTATACTATGAGACTATTTATATGTGTTATAAGAGGTTATAAAAAAAAATGGTGATTACAATTATTCTAGTTAAAGATGTCGAATTGGATGGCTTGGGGTGTGTTATGAGGTCTAATAAATTCCTTTTTAAAGTTTGAGTCTAGTCAAAAAATACACCCACAACCACTTAATTAAAATTTGATGGACAAGAGTAGTTACGACCTCTTTATGCTAAAACTAAATGGTCTTTTATATACTTTTCTGATTTATTACCCAAGATTGATCGAGATATTAACCGTGGGCAAGGGTACAAATCAGTTGGCCTGACCCGATATGCCTCAAAAGCTAAGCCTCGCAATGGTTGGTTCAGATCTCCACCTCAGGTAACACCGGGTCTATAGCCTATTGGCTTAATGGACTAGGCCCGGCTGTTGAGGCCCAAATGGCCCTTGTTATTACTTTTAAGTTTATTGGGTTGCAAATGGGCCGGGCTGCCTAACATGGTTCGTGTTCAGGCAACTCATGCACATGTCGATTCGGGTAAACCTTGAATTTAAGGGTTTTTAGTTTGACGGGTTGGGCTTGGGTCTTTGCCCATGCCAATCCCAGCCCCCTTGCGACCACACTAGAGGTATTTTACCATAATGTTGTGTTTTTAATAATAAATACGTTAACACATGAAAATACTGTATATCATTGATCAATATGGCAAGTTAATGCATAACATCATTCATCTTAATAGCTTTAACTTGATTGTCTATGCCCTAATTCTTTTACAAATTGCTCCCCAGCTCACTTAATGATATTTGTAAAGGTATTTTGAGCTATTTGACGTGTCTTATTTGAAACATAAAATTTTAAATTATTCTTTGATATTACATAAAAGGTTGTATACAATGCGACTATGTACCTTTAGTACAAAGAGGTCACAATTACTTTTAGTCATCCGATGTGAAATCTGATAGCTTGGGTTTGTCATAAGGTTCAGGAAAATTTCTTTTGAACTTTGACTTTAGTCAATGGAATAAATGCAACCACCAAATTTCACATCCAATGGCCAAGATCAATTATGACCACCTTGTACCGAAAATAAATGATCTCATTGTATACTTTTCTCTATATATATATTATCTGTGAACTTTTATGGCAATAGTAAGAAGAAGCCTTGAAACACCACAATAAATTAGTTTTTCTAGGGCATTAACAGTATCAAGACTATCGTGATGAGATAAAAAGTCAATTTCTTTGATATCATCGATCCAAAGTCTTATCCCCCACTCAATTATAAAAAAAAAAAGTCTAAAAAAAATTAAAACATCTCTAATGTTTTAATGGAAATTTACTCAGGAGATTCAATGAGTTGACTTTAACTCATGTTCTTTGTTGTACACGATTAACTACATAGATGGTGGATTGTTGCACATGAGATATTGGTGTTTTCAACTGAGTCATTTAGTGGGAATTGGTGTTAAAAACTACGAACATCTTATGCAATGTTTACAGGAAGATCTTGGCATTTGAAAACACCCATATCTTGTGAAAAGTTTTTTTCTTTCCGATGCCTTATGAAAAAATTCAGATCTGATATCGATATTAAAAATACCAATCACTTGGTAATCAAAACCATAAGGACCCGGTTTTCATGCGACCAAGCCCCGCATATGTAGGAACTGCGGGCTTCCTAATAAATCTATTTTTAAGATGGATTTTAAGACTTAATTTTTAAGGACATGTAATCTCTAACATGGAGATCATGAATATGAATAAATAAATAAAATTTAAAAACTAAAAATAATAATTCTACTAAGAAAGTATTTGGACTGTTAGTTTGTATTGTTTCAGATAGAACACCTACTTGCATCCATCTTTAAAATCGATGCTTTACAATTTCTAGACCGCATTTGTAGAAATACATTCCAGGCCACATGAAACAATTTTCCAAACTATAATATATCTCATAATGTAGGTTAGTAAGATATTGGAATTAAAACACACTATTATCATGGTAATTTACTTAGCGAGATATTACCATTCAAAAGTACAATTTGTAGAGAAATTTAGGTAAGGAAAGGGATAAATTTACAAAATTACCCTTTGAACCATATTTTCATAATTTTATGGCAGGTCTTTTTTTATGTTCTTTATTTCTTCTAGTTGTTCTCTCAGTTAGATTATGCAAACATTAAACCGCTTTTCTTTCTTTTCTTTTCTTTTTTGTATTTGTGAGGCAGTCTATTGAATAAGATATCATACATCCCATTTATGGGGCAGTTCGACATTGGCAAAATTGGACCGCTTATGATTTAAAATTTTATTTTGTATGGGGTAGTCGATGTTCCTTACATTGCCCATACTTAGGTTTATTTATTTGTACCAAGACAGTGATTAACTTTTTTAATTTATAAAAGAACGAAAACATAGGCAATATGCACATCTCTAACAAGGTCTCAAACTTGAAAAAACAATTTCTAAATATCAAAGTGGTTGGATGTTTGGAACATCGGATCGTCCCATACAAAAGATTAGATTAGATCATAGTGCGGCCCAATGTTGTTATTATTGAATCGCCCCAGAAATGAGGAATCTATTATCTTATACATATGACCTTCCTTTAGTTCCATAAAATAAAAAAAAAAACAAATAAATAGGGTGAGGTTTGTATAAAGTAATCAATTCGTACTATACAAGTAAGGTATACCTCTAAATTTTACTATAAGATGTGGTTCCAGTGTCAAAAACCTTACAACTGGCTTGAAAATCCACGTTCAACCTTAATTTTGAAATTTAAAATTTTAAAACCGGTGCGGATTGAGCAGATCTATAAAATTTGAAAATTTTAAAAAGAGATCGTTTAAATAACATACTATAAGATGTATTATTTTTAAGACTTGAAATTCTTTTTTTTATATATATCTATGCATCTTGAGGTCGAGATGATCAATTGAAAGGGTTCGTAACTTCAAAACACTATTTTCTATAGGATTTTTCCAGTGTATTGTACTTCTATAGTATAAGGTTACAACCTTATATAAACTTTTTTCAAAATACAATGGCGCTTGATGTTTCCAATTGAGGGAAAAATAAAAAAATAAAAATATCATGCCCTAAAATTTCTGAAAATATAAACCCACGAGCAATCCTATGCTCCGGTCTGTACATAAATTTCTCTAATTTGTTGCGGAAAATTTGTAGAAGGAGCTTCTCACCTTTCTTTCATTTGTTATTCTTTTTTCCAAAACATTAATTAGGAATTTTCATTGACTAAATGAAAAGTACACAGTGAAGAAGTAAGCGAAAAAAAGAAAGAAGGGAAAGAACGCCAGAGAACAAGAGGAAATAAAAGGAAAAAAGACAATTAAGGTACAACCGCTGATCTAGTAATCCTAGTATGTGCTATTGAAGTTTACTTTTCTTGCCTTGAATTTGTTATAAAAAAAAATTCTACATTTAAAAAAATATTATGTTTAATTTTCTATGTTTGATGCTTATTGCACAAAAGGTCCATTTTCCTGTAAAAGAGGAAATTTGGACCATGGTCTCATGTTATGGGGGAATTCTTTGAAATCAAAACTCTCCTATCATCTTTCTTCGTCTCCTCTTAGATCATCCAAAAACTCATTCTCCATCCCTTGAGATCAATAAAAGGACCACTTGAATTTTAAAAAAGGGAAATTTATTTAAATATCAGTTGATTACTATTTTACCAATATTTTTTATTAATTTCAAAATACATCAAAATACACATGACCATGCATTGTAATATTTGAAAAAAGGGATAAACTGTTAAAGTTATTAACAAGTTAAGTGCATATTGATAAATTTTCCGGCAAAAAAAAAGAAAAATAATACAAATCATTTCCCTACTCAAGGGCAACTCTTTACCAGCCGTTCATGAAGAGTCAGATAAAGGACCTTTTGCACACGTGATCATTTTTAAGAAATGATCGCATGGTGAATTATTATAGATGTTTTGATAATTAATGTCGTAAAACACCCACTCAGTAGGTGTTTTGCTTGCAAGACCAGTGTACAATTTGGTCCTACAAGACCACCATACATGCATACCTTACAAGAGTTTTCGCTGCATTTCTGGTTAAATAAAGCAATGAAGACCCTCGTTTGGTCCAAGAATAACTAAATTAAAGGCCACGACGGAGCACGACCACCATGTGAAAATGGATATACAAAGAGACCAAGAAGACCACAATTACTCTTCCGTCGTATTTAATTCAGGTGGTTGAGCGTGTGCTAGACTCAAAGTTTACAAAAAAAAAAAATTTAAATTTTATAACACGCCAAAACATCGAATTTGACATCTAATGGCTAATGGCTAATGGCAATTATGACTTCCATGTAATAAAGATATCTGATATCGTAATACACAATAACTCTTTCTTTATGTTTGAAATGTTATCTCTCTGCCCCAAGGTCATAGTTACATTTACTTTTATCATTAAATGATTTGAAGTTTTCGTCTTTTTCATTTTCCTATGAAAAATGTAGTAGGAATTTTTCGTCTTTTTCATTTTTCATTTTCCCATGGTCCAATAAGAAGCCCAAACTCAGGCCCAGCAAAAATAGTCACAAAGCCCAATAGGCAACCATCAAAAAGCCCAATCTCAAGTCCAATAAAATAGTCATTAAGCCCAATGGACAAACAAAAACACCTACTGTCATTTATGAAGCAGCAGTATTTCAGAGTGAAACAGAGAAATTAAGGGACAGAATCCCTGATACAAACATTTAATTCATTTACTTTAGACAAGGTTTTAATCTAGAAAACAGCAACTGAGTGACCATTTGGGACACCTTATATGATCATTGTTTTGCTCCTTTTGCAGCCATCCTTGCTTAGTAATGACGTTGACCATTTTAAAACATATATTACTCAAAAAGTACCCACAGCAGAACCAGAAATCCTGCTTAAATATCTTTTCAACACAACAAAGAAAAAAATAATTCAGCATCCTTATTTTAACTGTTCATGATAAACCGAAGCAAATAGAATTTTTGTGGACTTACTAAAATCACTGTAACATGTAAACAAAACTAGCGAGGTAACGTGTCCCCCAGTTTATGAAAAGATTAAGCCAACCAAGTCTGATGAATTAATAAAATGTCCTCCCCAGCACCTTACCCTAAGATGGATCATGGGCGCAAGAATACCCAAAACCCTGAGAAAAAACATGTATTAGGGTTACAAAGTGAACACCTGCAGATACATAATTAATTACACAAAATAAAAATGAAATAGCAAACAAAAAGATGAAGTGAATAAAGAAAAGACTAAAAGCTGCAACAATTTGCCATAAAAAAAAAAACCAAAATAAATTACTGGTTTATGGAATTATGATTGGGGCTGCCAACCTGGCTGGGCCTGTCTCCAGACTTGATTAGGGCCACACTTCAAGGGCCATGGACCATGCATGCTAGGCCCGAATAATTTTTGGCCAAGGTCCACATGCTAGGCCAAGGAATATATATATATATATATATATAGGAGAATTGCTACAGTATTTCGTCCCTATCATGGACATGCTATGTCTTTGACGATTTTGCTTAAAAACCATCACGGACCTATGGGAGTCGTGGCGATCCCTATATATTTTTTGTGTCAATTTTGTGTGAAAAAAATCCCGTCACGGATATGCTATATCCGTGACGGACTGCCATAACATGCTATGTCCGTGACGGTCTTTAATCCATGCCGTCTGAAAAAATCGGATGGCACCAAGCCTATGGGCGAAAATACTGTTCATTTTCGCCCATAAGCGTTTTGTAGTCTCTTCCTCTATCTCTCTCTCTC